AAGCTTGTAGTATAAATCACTTTGATCGCTCAGTTAGAGTAGAAAAGTACTCTACAGGTACTAGTCTATTCACCATTTTATTGTGTATATACTCACTATAGAGGAAAAGGCTGGCATTCTGGACGCCCAGTCGGTTTGAGGCCACGCAGGTATAGTTCCCATAATCCTCTTCAGTGATGTTGGCAATCGTGAGACTAGTGGTAGTTCCAGAAGTTTGGATGGTGATGCTCTGGGTATTAGCCAGCCTGGAGAGGAGACGTAGACCAGACAGTGTTAAGTAAGTTCAAAGTAACAAAGATTAAAATTAGGTCTTGAAACCAGAAACCTTGAAACAACATTCAAAAAAGTGATACATTATATATGTCCATATGTTTTATAATCATGTCTGCCTGCAATGTTTTGCTAATGGACTGTTACTGTACTGGAGTAAAGGTCTTCAGATAGCCAAGCCCATTAATTACATTCCAAAACAAGTTGTACCTTCTAGCCGGCCATTACTTTGCATCAGTGGGGGTCACGCTGCTGAACTCTCTGAGCGTGGGCGTTGTGGCTGCTCAGAAGAGCGAGATAAGCTTTTCTCATTTTGGAACAAATCTTTTTCATTAACAGTTTGATAGGACGCTGCATTTTACCAGGAGGTGAATCGCCTGCGAAGATTTAGCTTTGGATGAATACCTGCAGAACTTGCAAATGAGTGGAAAAAATAATGTGTTACTTTGTTTCTCTAAATCAACAATTCAAATGTCACTGTTCACATTATTTTAATTTTCTTTCTTTAACACCAACCAAAAAACTACTTTCAGTTGTTTTCATCCAGATGAAATACCAACACGCCGCTAACGACCGTCACACTTCTGACTGTCGCTGATGTCAACCTTGAACCCCACTCACAGCAAATGAATCAACACAGCTTTTGCTGACTCAGACTGTATACCTTGCTGATGAACTGCTCCTTATATCATCACGACTAAATAAAACTAATTTAACGCCACGCCGTGCATAATGGATTCGCCTTGTTCTGGGCTGATTGAGCGCTTTCATATCATGAATGAGGTGAGGCTCATTCAAGGCGCCTCAACTTAATCCTACTTAAGTCGGGGTAATGTGGTAATCGGAATTCGTGCAGAGGAGCGAGAAGTTTGTGCTGACACATACGAGGCTGATAGGAAGTATTAACATAAAAAGGAAATGGCACATCATGGCACAGCATAATTTGGTTTGCCGGGGTGCTGCGGTGGCGGCGGTAGGGAGTGTTGAGGTCCTTCCAGCAGGGACACCTTGGGAGTGCTGGGAACAGTGTGTGTGTGCGTTTGAAAGTAAGAGACGACGGGGCAAGTGCACCGGCACAGTCTCCCCCTCCCTCTCTGATGATAAGGCCAGCAGCAGAAGATATATTCTCCAGTGTGTCTTCATGAGAAGTGACTGCACTATTAAAAAGGCCTGCCTGCCTACGGAGCATGCTGAGCGATCTAGATAATGCACAGCACTGCAGGGAGCTGGAAACAAACACCTATGTTTGTTTTTTTTACAGTAGATGACAGCTCATGATTTGTGATGCTCTGGCAAGAGACTGAATGGACGCAGACAGAAAAGATAGAAGTCTCTTTTGTTTTCACAGTTTGCTACAAAGGCTGTTAGTTCACTTAACCAGCTGCAGAAAACTACGATGTTATAAAAAAAAATTTAAATGGAAAGTTCACCTTCTCCATATTTGCATTTATGGAGGTCAACATTTTAACTTTTAACTCGTTGGCACACGCAGCTTCACGATTTCCATCACTTCTGATTTCAAGTTCATCCTCAAATATGTCTGTGTGTCTGCCAGGTTCTTCATCTGGCATAATACACTGGAATATATTATCTGAAATTTGGCAGGAGCTGTGGATG